TCTCACACACCGTGGCTCTAGTTTTGCGGCTGCTTCCTGGGACTGTCCTTCCTGGGAGTTCTCCGGGGTTCGTTTACATGTTTGAGAATGTCCACGTTCTCTGAGCCTTATAGGCAAGAACCAGCTGTGGACGCTCTTGCTTTATTCTGTTTATCTGTATGAGGTTACGGCAGGTGTAGCCATGGAGAGTGGAAGAGAAATGCTCAGCGTTGTGGTGACTCTGATTATTCCCCTTCAGGTGTTTGTAGTTAAGCAACGAAAACGTGAAATTCATTGTGACGTGTGTTTACAAGAGACTGAGCCAGAATTCAAGTGTCCGAGAACAGGAGTTCTTAACCAGGCGTCCTTTGTATCTATGGGTGTCGAGGGAACCACAGCTCCCTGAAATTGTGTAGATAATTGCTGCATATATTTGGAAACTTTCATTTTCATGATTCAAAAGGTTTAGACCTGGTTTTATTTAGAATCAAAAAGAACAATTTTGTTATACCTTGTGACGATTTTGCACAAATCAAGAGATTTGATCAAGAGATTGATCAAGAGAATGGGAGTGGTTAAGAAAGCACATGACATCAGTGAGACAGTATTATGCAGATAATACAATTTCTGTTTATAGGAATTAGTCATTATAAAGAAAGATTTAAGTAAACCATCTTCATAGTTGCGGATAATAGCATTCAAGAAAATTTTAAAATAGAATTAAAATTAAAATAGAATGAAATTGAAATTAGAATTAAATTATAATTAAAATAAAATTAAAAATAGAATTTTGTAAAACCCTTTTGGGAAGATTGTATCCAAAATGACATTTTAATTGGTTATTCAGAGAATAATGGAAGGTATGTAGTCATATTTATTGGACAACTTCTCCGTACTCAACTTTCCTGCCTACTTTACATACATAGTCTTATTAATCTGCAAAGCCTATTTCCCTTCTGTTAATGGAAAAATCTTTATAGTGAAATATATCTGATTATATCAGTGTAGTACAGCTACAGGATATTTAAGAACAGGTAAATGGTGGCTGTTTCAATCACTTTTTTCACAGCTGGCCTCATATGTACAGATTTTTTTTAACGATGAAAATATAGCATCTGCCATAAGAGTGACTTAAAATATTTTAAATACTTTCTAATATCTTTATGTTGCATTTATGATGATAGAATAAATGCAGAATTACTGCAAAAGAAATTAATGTCCTAAGAAATTTAAGAAAATAAGAATACCCTTAATCTTACTGCCTAGAAATAATCACTTTTAATATTTTGGTGTATGTGTTTCCAATTTATTATGTGTGAACATTTCTGTGTGGCTTTGTTTTGACAAAACATAATTGGTGAAACAAAAGACGCAGAGTCCTACTCTTAGTTTGAAAAACAAATCTAGCCCAATCATGGGTTTCCTTTTACCTCTGTTAGGGAGGAGGAAATACCAGGGATCTCCTTGTTTGAATAACATTAAATTTTCACCTTTTAGATATGACGAATGTTACTGAAAATCTTGTAGCACCAAATTACTAAATAATGCATACTTTCATAATTAATAATTTAGTGCTGGACACACTGGTGCGTGCCTATAGTCCCAGGTACTTTGGAGGCTGAGCTAGGAGGATCACTTCAGCCCAGTAGTTCTGTCCTGTAGTGCATCATGCCCATAGGGTGTGTGCAGTAACTTCAGCATCAGTATGGTGACCTCCCAGGAATGGGAGACCACCATGTTCCCTAAGGAGGGATGAACTGGTCCAGGTCGGAGATAGAGCAAGTCAAAATTCCTGTGATCATAATAATTTAGAGATTTAAGGTTACTTACAGAGAAAATAGCACTAAATTCTAATTTAGTGTCTGGCAAGTACAAATAATATTTCCAAAGGTAGTTATTATAACAGAAAATAAAGATTGTAATATAAATCCCCCTATTATGCAGAATAAGATTCACTCATTTGCTATGATTGCATTTTATCACATTCCGATTATAGATATATATATAATAATATATACCCTTTATCACTCCCTAATAGCTAGAGAGAGCAAGAAAAACTCCATTCAGCATCATAAACCACACCTGTGTGTGTTTATATAGCAGCTAGGGAGTGAGGAAAGAAACATACTGTCTTTTCCTGCCTGGTAATCTGTCTTTCTTATGTTACTCATGATTTTATTAAGAAGAATTATTTTTTTCTCAAAGATAGGAACTGAAATTTTTTAAAAGTAAAGAGAAAGCCCAAGAAGCACAAATTTTCTATGAGAATAACATGATGCAGCAGAATTAACTTCCATGTATAATAATGGATTAAGGGTAATATAATGACTTTGATCTTTAGTAGTGATTGATAATTTACATTAGCCATCTTGTCATACTTTTTAGTGTTAATATGGATTGCTTTGTTATTCTTCAGAACAGTCATAGGTAGTAGGTAATATTCTTTTTTAAACATTTTTTTTATATATATTTTTAAGTTTATTTACTTTTGAGAGAGAGAAACAGAGCATGTGCAGGAGGAGGGACAGAGAGAGAGACACACCCAGAATCTGAAGCCGGCTTCAGGCCCCGAGCTGTCAGCACAGTTGGGACTCGAATGCCGGACTCGAACTGTGAGATCATGACCTGAGCCAAAGTCAGACATTTAACTGATTGAGCCACCAAGGCACCCCTGTAGTAGGTAATATTCTTAACTTTTCTTTGCTGATTTTGTAATCAACAGAGGCACTGAGGTATTATTAACTCTGACAGCTTAAAGCTCATTTTCAATTCCTAAAATCTGACAACAGAGCTTGTGTTCTTAACTTCAACAGGGTATCAGCTACATTACGCAAACCTTTTAAAACCTGCCTTCTTCACTGACTTAATATTGTTTTCCATTATTTCATATGGATTATTAATGAAGCCACAGTATGTCACCATATTGCAGACCATAATATGTTTAACCTGTTGCCTTCTATGAGATAGTTATGTTTTTAATTTTTGGTTATCAAAATTATTCTTTGATGCACCATGCCTTACATGCTTTTATAGTTATTTCCTTAAAAAATTTCCTAGAAATGGAATTTTATGGTAAAATCAGACTTTTATTAAGTGCCTACTATATGCTAGACCTAGAAATTGTAGGATTTGGGGTAATCATTGGAAAGACATAGTTGCTTCTTTTAAAATGCTTATTATCTAAAATGAGGTAAAATCTGAATAGAAATAATTGTAAGGCAGTGTGTGTGAAGACCACTAGCTAGATTTAGGTGACCTGCCTTGTGAATTCACAGGAAGACACACCAGTCTATCTACAGCAACAGTCAGGATATAAACAAAATATACAGATTCTATGAAATATCTATGGTAATAAGTGGATTTTGTGCTATGACTTTTATATTCACCATTTTCCTTCTAATTTTGTTAGATGCACAGTAAAACTAATAGGATATCACAAAGCAGCAGCTGTCTGGGGGATATGATGGCTTAGCTGACAGGTTTATAAACCAAACAAACCCTTCTGTCAAGAAGACCTGAAATAAAGCTGTATTGAGATCATCAATTCATACAAGAGATTACACAGAGACGGGTTCCTATATCTTCTAGACAGAACTCCCTCATGCCTGAGAAGAAACGATAACATGAGTTTAAATAGTGAGATCCAAAGGAAGCAGACAAAAGATAAGCTGTTCAGTAAAACAGTCTAAATTTAGGTAACAAATGATTTTTTTTTTATTTTCTTTTTGGATATCTTCCTGTTAACAAGTAAAGGAAAAATACACATATCTTTCAAGTTAACCTGTGGTCATTGTTACAGTAATTATGAAGTAAGCTTTAAAAAAAAAACACAAGGGGTGCCTGGGTGGCTCAGTTGGTTAAGCGTTCAACTTCAGATCATGATCTCCTGGTTTGTGAGTTCAAGCCTTGTGTCAGGCTCTGTGCTGACAGCTCAGAGCCTGGAGCCTGCTTTGGCTTCTGTGTCTCCTTCTCTCTCTGCCCCTCCTCCCTGCTAATGTTCTGTCTCAAAAACAAACATTAAACATTTTTTAATTAAAAAATAAAAAACAAGATCAAAATAAAAAGATAAACACTGTTAAAATGTTTTATAACCTTCCAGATTTTTTAATCTACTGATTTTAATTTGTCTATCACTTTTTCTCTACACTGATTGACGTATTCATATATTTAAAAAAATAATTATATTGGCCAATCTAATTCTGTTTTAAAAAAAATTTTTTTAATGTTCGTTTATTATTTTGAGAGATAGAGTATGCGTGGGGGTAGGGCAGAAAGAGAGGGAGACACAGAATCCGAAGCAGGCTCCAGGCCCCAAGCTGTCAGCACAGAGCCCTACGCGGGGCTTGAACTCACAGACTGTGAGATCTCACAGACTGTGAGATCTCACAGACTGTGAGATCATGACCTGAGCTGAAGTCAGACGCTCACCTGACTGAGCCACCCAGGCACCCCAATCTAATTATTCTGGACAGTATATCTGGAATATTTTCTCCTATCCTTAAATATTTTACCCAACTTCACATTTGATGTCTACTTGGTATTGTAATACAGTGATGGTTTGTCATTTATTTAACTGGTAAGATTTTCTAAACTTAGAGTACAGAACACTGACTTTCCATCTCCAGTGTCTTAACCAACTTTACCCACTTCCTAAAGAGGTTCTCATTAAGATGATCTAGGGCTTAGAAGATGAGAATAGAAGGAAGAGGATCTGCTCAGAGCAAGACTGCACTGCCCACTCTTAGGTCTGCATCTGCCTCGCCAGAGTGATGCAGTGGCCAAAGAACTGCTGATAAGTGCACATCTGACTTTAATGCACATATGCTTCTGTTCTTGACTTTGTTCATCAGAGACCCCTGGGATTTGGGGAAGGAAATGACCTTATCTATAATCCCAATCTACCCAAATTGTGTGTGTTGGAAAGTAGATTTGGAACTTGGAGTGGGAGATCCTAACATTAGTTTATGTCCTGTTGGGAACACTAAAGCAAAACTGGTCTTAAGATCTTTCTCTTTTCCCAGCTCTGGCTTTCTGCATCTGTGCTATTCTGTTAGAGGAACCCTGAAGACTGATCCACTCTTGTAGGCCTAAAACCATGGCTCATGTAAGTTGATGTTTCCTCCCTTGACCTTTTTTAGGTCATGTGAGTATTTTCATTACATTTTCTAGAGTTTACTACCAAGAAAAGGCCTCTCCAATAACCTTTTACCCATCTTTTGTTCTGGTGAAATGTGATGCTAAATTACCCAGCATCCTTTCCATGCGACCTGTTCTAAACTAACCAGTGTTCATGTTATTACTGCAGAGTTATTCAACATGTCTTAAGTGTTCATTCTTTTATCAAGGGCAGTAATGGAATAGTAAAGGAGATATGCCTTTTGAGGTACAGATTTGCGTTATGTGAGGTTGCACAATAGTGTGGTCAAATGGAAATAATGGTTGTATTTGACCATCCATGAGAAAACTTTGAAATTTTCCAGATTTGGGATTTCCAGGTAGATAGGATAGAAATTTGGTATCAAAGGACTTAAATCTCAGTATAGAGTAAAATCTCATAATTTGTTTGAATTGGTATATGATTGTGATTTGCAAATTTGGTCATAGACCTTGGCAGGAAATCTCTAGAGATAAATATGAAGACTCTTCTGTTGTTGGATGAGACATACTAAATTTAGGTGACATCTGCATAATTCATCCTTCTTAAGTATTCTTAACTCAATATGTTAGTTATCTATTAGCTATGTAACAAATTACCCCAACACTTAGCAGCTCAAAGCAGTAAACATTTATCTCATAGTTTCAGTGGTTCAGAAATCTGGACATGGCTTTGCTGGACTCTCCTGTCTGGATCTCTTACAAGGCTATTAAGGTGTTGGTCAGGGCTGAAGTCATCTTAAGGCTATAACATTGGTGTATCTGCTCCCAAGCTCACTCAAGTGGGTTTTGACAGGATCCAGTTACTCATGGGCTGTTGCCTGGAAGCCACACTTAGTTGAGCAAGTGAGACATCCAAAGACGGCAAGCAGTATGGAATCTATCAGAAATAACATTTCGTCACTTTAGTCATATTCTATTTATTAAAAAGCAAGTCACTCAGCTCAGCCCACACACGTGAAGGAGAGTACACAAGGGCGTAAATACTAGATGATGATCACTGGTAACCTAAACGGAAGCTGCCTACCATACTCAGCTAAGCTAGCTGTTCAGTGACAGATGGTAGATGGCAATGAGGAAACTATATGTCATAAGTAGTAGGTGAACATAGAATCACAGAATTGGGGAAGACCTTACAAATGTAATACATCCTACCTGTATAAATGATTAAATCCAGTATGTCCCTGAATTATGTCATGTGCCAGAAAGTACATGGGTTTGTCAAAACAAGAGAGAATATTTGTGGTAAGATCTATGAAAATTTAATACTTGAGGGAATTCTTAATTTTATACAAAGTCTGTTTTCTAAAATTGAGACTTCATACTACATTTTGAAAAATATTTGATTAAATTTTCTCTAAAAAGCAAAAATTTTCTTCAACTCATGTTTACTGAGAATTTATGTGACAGATAAAAACATTATGCTTGTATTCACTATTTGATTTAATAGTCAATGATTATCATTTTTATTCTCAAATGATTCAGATATTTAAGAATATGCCAGGAAATTTGGTCTATTCCAGCAGGCTTCTTCAAAAATATGTATATATTCTGCTTCAGTCCCCTCCTGTATTATATATTTTTAACCTACATATTTGCTATGTTGCTTTCTTTCTGCAATATAGTACTTTTCCTTCCATCTTCAAAATATTCCTCTAATTTCCCCACTAATACATGGGTTTGCCGTTTCAGAGATCTGTGACATTCAGGGATGTGGCCATACACTTCTCTCAGCAGGAGTGGGAATATCTTGACTCTGTTCAGAAGAACTTGTACCGGGATGTGATGATGGAGAACTATGATAACTTGGTCTCATTGGGTATGTTCATCAGCCTCTAGTAATTTAAGATAATTTAGAAATAGGCATTTTTTCCCACTATGACTTTCAGGGTTGCTTTTAGGAAACTAGATACATTTCTTTGTTGTTATCATTATTATTATTTTTTTTTTTTTGCAAAGAAATAAATGATTTGAGTTGTGTCAGGTTGGAAATTGTAGCTCCATTAAACATTGTTGGGGAGGAAGAATTTTCCTTTATGCTTCAAGATTCTTCTAGCTAGTCTAAGAATTAAATTTATGTGAGACAGATTAACAGGAGAAAAAACCAGAGTTTAATTATGTGTACACAGAGTCTCAAAAATGAAACTGAGACTTGAAGAAATGATGAAAGTAGTCAGGTTTTACACTTCTTAGAGAAAGAGACGACAAACCTGTGAAGAATTGACAGGACAAAGAAAACTTATGTTCAGAGTTTCAATTAGTAAGGAATTCTAAACTGAATTTGGGCTGGGGTAGTAAATTAGTAAAAAGTATTTGGTTGTCGGGGCACCTGGGTAACTCAGTGGGTTAAGCTTCTGACTTCAGCTCAGGTCATGATCTCACAGTTCATAAGTTCAAGCCCCATGTCAGGCTCTGTGCTGTACAGAGCCTGCTTCAGATATTCTCTCCCTCTGTCTCTCTCTGCCCCTCTGCTCGTACTCTCTTTCTCTCAAAAATAAATAAACATTAAAAAAAAAAGGTAACAAGGGTTGTTAATAATAGCCTTGTCAGGTCTGAATTGCCTATATCTGTTATAAGGATGTCTTTTTATCTTCTGATACAGAAAGGGTACCTTCCATTAGATTTATTTCTTGCTTTCTGGAGACTAAGTATGGATCATAGTGTTATTTTTGCATTTAACTTTTTTTTTTTTGTAGACTCCATACCCAGTGTGGGACTTGAATTCATCCCTGAGATTGAGTCACATGCTCTAACTGAGCCAGCTAGGCGCCCCTACATTTACCCTTTTTAAAATTTTATTATTATTTTATTTTTGAGACTGAGAGCATGCATGCATGCAAGCAGGAGAGGGGGCAGAGGGAGAAAGGTTGGGGGGGGAGGGAAGGAGAGAGAGAAACTTGAACAGGCTCCATGTTCAACCCCGGAGCCTGACACATCTGCATCTCATGACTCTGGGATCATGATCTGAGCCGAAGTCAAGAGTCATATGTTCAACTAGCTGCAGGAGCCTTGCATTTAACTTTTAAAATAATCAGTATGCCAAAGTAGCATGTTTTGGGATGGTCTGCCCTTGGCCCCTACAGCATCTTCATCTTCTCTGTCCAGTGATACTCATACCTCCTTTGCAGTGACCTCTTTTTCTTTATGAAGAGGATCTTGTTTAGAATTCTCTGGCATTTATTATTATAACCATTGTTAAATGATTCAGTTTTCCTATTTATTTATGCTCGGAATGTCTATAGAGATTACATTTTATTACCCACTTGCAGGGAAATCAGCTTGACACAGGGTCCTGAATTGCTCTCATTGCCCTAAAAGGGCCTCTACAATTTTTTTTAAGTTTATTTTATTTATTTTGAGAGAGAGAGAGAAAGAAAGTGTGAGTTGGGGAGGGGCAGAGAGAGAGAGGGAGAGAGAGAGAATCCCAAGCAGGCTCTGCACTGTCATCCCGGAACCCAACTAGGGCTTGAACCCACAAACCATGAGATCATGACTTGAGCTGAAGTCAGATGCTTAGAGTCACCCATGCACCCCAAGAGCTCTACAATCAAAATAGTGGTGCATTAGATAAATGGAATTCATTGAAAACTGAGGCATACACACTCTATTTCATAAGAAATTCTTTCTGTTTTGTGGTTGAAAGTTGTAATCTGTGAACATTACATTTAAAATGGAAAGAATATCCTACAGAGAGCCCTTCTTGTGTACTCTTTGAAAAACAGCAATATCGGTAAAATATTAATAGCTAACATTGTTCTTAGTATGTAATCGGCAACACTCTGAGCGTTTTACACATATGTATCAACTTGTTTGATCCTCCTGACAGCCCTATTCCCATTTTACAAGTGAGGATACTAAGGCACTGGGTTTAAGTGACTTTCCCAAGGTCAGACATAGGTGGAAGGTAGCAAAGACAGGAACTGAACTAAAGCTCCAGATTCTGTATTGTAAACTATGGTATTATGCATTCTCTCAAGAAAAAGAGGATTTATGAGTATATGTTAAAAAACAAAACAAAACTTATACCTGATTTCTTGTTCTTTAGTTCCTTTACCCTCTCTTCTCAAAAATCTTATTCAACATCATTTTGACCTTTAGTTTATTACAATTTTTTAAGCATCTCTTTTTTTTAAATACTATTTTTGAGAGAGAGAGAGCATATGTGGGGAGGGACAGTAGGAGAGGGAGACACACAAACTGAAGCATGCTCCAGGCTCCAAGCTGTCAGCACAGAGCCTGATGTGGGGCTGAAACCCACAAACCATGAGATCATGACTTGAGCCGAAGTTGGATGCTTAACCGACTGAGCCACCCAGGCACCCCTATTACTATAATTTTAAGCAATGTTTTGTTCTATATCATGTGCATTTTTTTTCTTTGTAAGCAGAACATTCCATTTCTAAGCCAGATGTGATCACATTATTGGAGCAAAGAAAAGAGCCCTGGATGGTTGTGAGGGAGGACACAAAAAGATGGTGTACAGGTAAGTATGAGCAAGGAATATATCTGTGTAAGTAAAAGCTAAGTGGTTAAGGAGAGACCTTGGAAAACTCCATGTTGGAGAACATACTTGTGATCTAGGGAGGAAATCTATGCTGTGCATGAGCTAGCTACCCAGTGAATTTCATCTTTACCCCCTTAACCACTCCCTTTGTTACTCTTGTCATATTTCCCTCCCAATTCAGTAATGGGCACTGTCCTTCTTCCTCATGCACCATTTTGTCTGTATTTTGGACTCAACTGCTCTCCAGATCCTCTTGTGCACTTGGACTTATATATATGGCTTCACTGCCTAAAGATAAATGCATTTCTATATCTGGCTAATGAAATGCAATTTATAGTGTATTAGGGAAGACATAAAATAAACATATAAACAAATAAGTAGGTACATAACATCACATAGTGAAATACAGTGTCAGGGAAACTAAGGACAAGACAAATTAAGGTAAGATGGTCAGGAATGCTTTTCTGAGGAGGTAGGATGTGGAAGGTAAGGCCCAGGCCATTTGAGTATAAGAGGAAGAGCATTCCAAGAAGAGTAGACAAATGCAAAGGCCTGAAAGAGAATATGACTGTTGTTTGTTCACGAGCAGCAGGTAGATCAGAGCAGAGTTATTGAATAGTGACTAACAAAACAAAGTCAGTATGTTATGGGGGATCATATCATGTTGTGTTGTGATTCATTAAGAAAAATTATAGTTGTTTTTAAGATTATTTCTAAAGATATGATTTGATTAAATTTTTTGTTATCTTCAATGTTCAAAAATCAAACCTTACTAATAATGAGACTTAAAACAGAAATCTAGATAAAATAAACATTAAATGATTTTCCACTTTCTCTCATTTACTTTTTTGTATTTCTTAATTTTTATTTATTTTTATTTTTTTAATATATTAAAAAAAATTTTTTTTAACATTTGTTTTTGAGAGAGAGAGAGCACAAGCAGGGGAGGGGCAGAGAGAGAAGGAGACACAGAATCTGAAGCAGCTCTAGGCTCTGACTCAGCACAGAGCCCGATGTGGGGCTTGAACGTGAGATCATGACCTGAGCTGAAGTCATCCCCTTAACCAGCTAAGCCACCCAGGCTCTCCTTTCTTAATTTTTATTTTAAAAGGTTTTATCCTAATATTAATCTACTGGGAGTTTTTTTCTTTATAGGTTCTGAAATCATTCTGAAATCATTTTTTCTTTATCTCTGCTGTATTCCTGAGCTCTATCATTTCATTTCTCAGTTTTTCTAATTCCGATTTATGTTTTTTTCATTTCATATAACATTTTTTTTTAAATCAGAATACTTAATATTGTTAAAATGGCAGGGTGCCTGGGTGGCTCAGTCGGTTAAGCATCCGACTTCAGCTCAGGTCATGATCTTATGGCTCGTGAGTTCAAGCCCCGGGTCGGCCTCTGTGCTGACAGTTCAGAGCCTGGAGCCTGCTTTAGTTTCTGTCTCCATCTCTCTCTGCCCCTCTGCTGCTTGCACTCTGTCTCTCCCTTAAAAATAAACATTAAAATTTTAAAAATATATTGTTAAGATGGCATTACTACCCCAAATCCTGTCAGCTTATTTGTAGAAACTGACATCCTGATCATAACATTCATGTGAATATGCAAGGGATTTAGAATAGTCAGAAAATCTTGAAAATTGAGAAAGTGGAATTCATATTTTCTAGTTTCAAAACTTATTACACACCAAAACTTATGGGATGCATTGAAAGCAGTACTAAAAAGGAAATTTATAGCTTGCATTAGAAAGAAAATTCTTGGGGCGCCTGGGTGGCTCAGTTGGTTAGGTGTCTGACTCTGGATTTCAGTTCAGATCATGGTTCATGAGATCGAACCCTATGTCAGGTCTATACTGGCAGCTGCTTGGGATTCTTTCTCTTTCTCTCTGCCCCTTCCCCCCAAATAAGTAAGTAAACTTCAAAACAAACAAAAAAATTAGAAAATTCTCAAATTAAAAACCTAACTTCATACCTCAAGGAACTAGGTAATAAAGAACGAACTAAACCCAAAGATAGCAAAAGAAAGAAAATAATAAAGAGTAGAGCAGAGGTAAACAGAGAATAGAAAAATAATAGGAAAAAATCAAACCAAGAGTTGGTTCTTCAAAATAATCAACCATAGTGAGAAAATGTTAGCTAGATTGACTAAGGAGGGAACTCAACTAAAATCAGAAATGAAAGAAGGGACTGTGAACAATTGTATGCCCACAAACTGGGTAACCTAATGAAATCCTGAAGACATACAGTCTACCAGTACAGAATCATGAAGAAATAGAAATCTAAACAGACTTGTACAGAGATTGAATTAGTAATCAAAAATAAACAGACATGGCTCAGTCGGTTAAGTGGCCGACTTCGGCTCAGGTCATGATCTCACACTCCGTGAGTTCGAGCCCCGCGTCGGGCTCTGTGTTGACCGCTCAGAGCCTGGAGCCTGTTTCAGATTCTGTGTCTCCCTCTCTCTCTGACCCTCTCCCGTTCATGCTCTGTCTCTCTCTGTCTCAAAAATAAATAAACGTTAAAAAAAAAATTAAAAAAAAAATAGACATGTGAAAAGATGGTCAGTATCACTCATAATCAGGGAAATACAAATAAAACAACAACAATGAGATATCATCTCACACCTATCAGAGTGGCTAAAATTAACACAGGAAACAAGTGTAGGATGTAGAGAAAGGGAAACCCTCTTACACTGTGGGAATGCAAACTGGCCCAGCCACTGTGGAAGATAGTATAGAGGTTCCTCAAAAGGTTAAAAATAGAACTATCCTAGATCCTGCAATTGAACTACTACATATTTACCCAAAGGATACAATACTAAGTCAAAGGGATACATGCACTCCAATGTTTATAGCAGCATTATCAACAATAGCCAAATTATGGAAAGAACCCAAATGTCCATTGACTGATGAATGAATAAAGAAGATGTGGTGTGTACACACACACACACACACACACACGAGTATTACTCAGCCATAAAAAAGAATGAGGGGCACCTAGGTGGCTCAATCAATTAAGTGTCTGACTTTGGCTCAGGTCAGGTCATGATCTCATGGTTCATGAGTTTGAGCTCTGCATCAGGCTTGCTGCTGCCAGCCTGTCAGCACGGAGCCCGCTTCAGACCTTCTGTTTCCCTCTCTCTGCCCCTCCCCTGCTTGTGCTCTTTCAAAAATAAATAAACATTAAAAAAAAAATCTTGCCATTTGCAATGACATGGATGGAGCTGGAGAGTATTATGCCAAGCAAAATAAGTCAGAGAAAGACAAATACTGTATGATTTCACTCATATGTGGAATTTAAGAAACAAAACAAACGTGGGGTGGGGTGGGAGGAAGAGAGGAAAATCAAGAAACAGAATCTTAACTATAGAAAACAAAGTGATGATTACCAGAGGGGATGTGGGGCAGGAATGAGTTAGAAAGGTGATGGGTACTAAGGAGGGCACTTGTGGTGAACACCAGGTGTTGTGTACATATGTTGAATAATTCTACATTTAAGAATAGAATACTGTATGGTAAATAACTTAAAAACTTGGAAAGAAAAAAATAACAAAAAATAACTCTGTTAAAGAATTAACACCACTTCCCCTCAAACTGTTCCAAAAATTTGAAGAGGAAGAAGAAACATTCCCAAATTTTCTCTGTGAGGGTAGCATTACCCTAATATCAAAGCCAGACAAATCCAGTGCAAGAAGAGAAACCCATAGATCAATGTTCCTGATGCATATTAAGTGAGGCAAAAGTTCTCAACAAAAATACTAGCAAACAATGCAACAGCATATGAAAATGGAGTTTTTTTCTGGAATGCAAGGATGATGCCATATATAAAAATCAAGCATGCAGTACACCACATTAACAGAATGAAGGGGGAAAAACACAGGGTTATCTCAATTGATATAGAAAAAGAATTCAACAAAATATAATATTTTTCATGACAAACACTTGAGAAACCAGGAATAGAAGGAAACTACCTCACCAAAATGAAGGCCATCTGTGTTAGTCCACAGCTAACATCATACCCAGTGGTGACAGACTGAAAACCACAGGGTTTGCTGCATCCTATAAGGTTCAGTATATTGTTTTCATTTCCATTTATCTTCAGATACTTTCTAATTTCCCGTGTAATTTCTTTTCTATTGCTAATTTAAGTGTGTGCTATTTCCACGTTTGTGTATTTTCTACTTTTCCTTCTGTTATTTGTAATTTTGTTCCTTTGTGATCAGAAAAGACACTCTCAATCTTTTAAATTTTGTTGATAGTTGATTTGGGTCTAACGTGTGTCTTGGAGAATGTACCACGTGTGCTTGAAAAGAATATGTATTCTGCCATTGTGTACAGAATATACATGTATGTTAGGTTCAGTTTGTTTAGAGTGTTGTTCAAGCCCTCTGTTTCCTTGTTGATTGGCCTGGTTCTTCTGTCTATTATTGTAAGTAGGATATTGCTACTGTATTTTAGCAAATTAGCAAAGCAATAAAACTTAGACTATATATTCTGTCCTGTTTATGGACAGTAGTTTAATTCTCTGAGGCTTTGCTTACACTGGTTTGTGTCCTTCTCATGCATGTGTGATTCAGGTTTAGGCTAAGCTTTTTCAGAATGTTTTCTTCTCTCACTTTCCAGTTTGGTAGTGGTCCTTATCATGATTCTTTTTTTCTTTTTTTAAATATTAGTTTGTTATTTTGAGAGAGTGTGAGAGTTGGGGAGGGCTAGTGAGAGGGAGACACAGAATCCTAAGCAGGCTTTAGGCTCTAAGCTGTCAACACAGGTCCCAACGTGGGGCTCGAACCCATGGACACCAGACCAGGAGATCAAGACCTGAGCCGAAGTTGGAACCTTAACTGACTGAGCCATCCAGGTGCTCCTGCCATGATTATTGTAGCAACAAATACGTCAGGGCTTTTACAGCCCATTTTTTGCCCCAGTATGACTGGGCCCCTCCCTTATGGCAACGTTGTGATATAGAAAATAGCAAGAGGGGCACCTGGGTGGCCCAGTTGGTTGGGCGGCCAACTTCGGCTCAGGTCATGATCTCATGATCCGTGAGTTCGAGTCCTGTGTCAGGCTCTGTGCTGACAACTCAGAGCCTGGAGCCTGCTTTGGATTCTGTGTACCCCCAATGCCCTCTCTCTGCCCCTCCCCCACTCGTGCTCTGTCTTGCTTTCTCAAAAATAAATAAATGTTAAAAAATAAAAAGAAAATAGCAAGAAACTCACCCTAATGTAGTTTACTTTTTAAGGTTTTCACTCCTCTCTACAGGTCTTTTTTTTTTTTAATTTTTTATTTAAAAAAATTTTTTTAATGTTTATTTCTTATTGAGAGAGAGTGCGAGCAGGGGAGGGACAGAGAGAGAGGGAGACACAGAATCTGAAGCAGGCTCCAGGCTCTGAGCTGTCAGCACAGAGCCCGACGTGGGGCTCAAACCCACAAACCACGAGATCATGACCTGAGCCGAAGTCGGACACTCAACCGACTGAGCCACCCAGGCACCCCTTTAATTTAATTTTTTTTAAGTAGGCTCCACACACAACGGGGGCTTGGACTCGCAACTCTGAGATCAAGAGTAGCATGCTCTATTTACTGAGCCACCCAGGTACCCCACTACAGTTGTCTTCTTTTGTTTACTCAAATTTACCGACTTCATGTGTTTGATTTTGTTATTTTGTCAAGCATTTTTAGTTGATATCAGTCAGAGAGGGAAATGACTATAAGGGATTTACATCACTGTGATGGAACTAGAACTTCTTCAATTAAGGAATTATTTAACAGTGAAATTATATTTCATTTATTTTCTCTTGTGTTATTGTGGACTTGTTGCTTTTTATATTGTTTATATTTATCACAGTCATTTTTATGCTACTATTTTCACAGTGTTGGCCAGTCATACTTCTGTAAGTCTTTGACATTTTCATTTCTTTTTTGCCTAAGATTTCTAGGTTCACCTTTTTTGACCTGTTCCAAATTGTTTTCTTTATCTAACCATGCTAGATCCATATAATGGACATTATTTTTAGAAATGATAATTTAGAAGTTAAAGAATACTCATTACAACTGTTTTTTTTTGACAACTTTTTCTCTTCTATTGTAATTGGTCTGTTTAAGCCTTCTAGGTGATTTTTTGGTGAATTTTGATGAATTTTTCTAGAAAATTATCCATTCCATTATTTCAGAAGTATTAGTGATGTATTCAAAGTATTCAAAATTTCAGTAAAATTCATTTTAGTTTTGCATTTCCCCCTTAATCATTTCTTCTTATTTTTTGTTTTTACTTCTTTTTGATTGGTTTGGCTAATGTTTACTTCTTGATTTTTAAAGCACCAGCTTTTTATTTGTTACTACTACACTTTTCTAACTCATTACGTTGTGCTCTTAATTTGTTTTTTCTTTCTTTTAGTTTGCCTGTTTTCTAAGTTTTGGAATTGGTTCCTTGACTCATTTATTTCTTCCATTTTTTTTTTTTTTTTTAAATTTTTTTTTTTTCAACGTTTATTTATTTTTGGGACAGAGAGAGACAGAGCATGAACGGGGGAGGGGCAGAGAGAGAGGGAGACACAGAATCGGAAACAGGCTCCAGGCTCTGAGCCATCAGCCCAGAGCCTGACGCGGGGCTCGAACTCACGGACCGCGAGATGGTGACCTGGCTGAAGTCGGACGCTTAACCGACTGCGCCACCCAGGCGCCCCTATTTCTTCCATTTTAATAGCAACAATTACTTAAATCTTTGAATTCTCTGAGTGCTCAAATTGAATGCCTAAAATTCTGGTATGTACTTATTTTCTCTATTGTACCCTTTCCGTTTTTTTATTTCCATACTTTCCCAGTTTTATTCTGGAGAGGGTACTTCCGTTTCCACATCAAATGTGTTTTGGTTTTCTGGTATTGTTACTAATTCCTGTTGTTACTTGGTTTTGGAGAGAAAGTGTTTGTATTATCTCAGAATTTGGTACATACTATACTTACAAGAATCTACTCCTGAAGCCAAGAGTACACTGTATGTTAGCTGACTTAATAATTAAAAAAAAAAAAAAAAGATGGCATTTCTTGTCCCCAAGTCTCTTCCCACTCATTCAGCACATAGAAATTTTTTCAAGATATCCTTTCGTATTTTTTGTTATTCTGCAGGCTATGTCTGTTCAAATATGTTTTTCACATAGTTCCTGTAACTCTTTTTCCAGATTTCTTTGCTCTATAGTTGAGTTTCACTTCTTTTCCTCAAAATACCCAACTGCTCAAAATCCATAAGACTTTTAGCAGGGTGTATACTTCATCCCTGTCTGAAAATTCATTGACAGACTTGTAGAAAAGGACCTGAGAAAAGATATGAAGGAATAAAACAGTTGGAAAATTTGTAGAATGGGTACCTAATAAGAAAAAGCCCAGTGAAAATAAGCAAACAAGAACTTTTATTATTTTATTTAAAATGAGAACAAAGAAATGCACACATGGCTATGCATTAGAGGGAATGACTACAATATTTGTATTTTATTATTTTTCTTAATTTTTTTTTTAATGTTTTTATTTTATTTTTGAGAGAGAGACACGGAGCAGGGGAGGGGCAGAGAGAGACGGAGACAGAGTTTGAAGCAGGCTCCAGGCTCTGAGCTATCAGTGCAGAGCCCAGCATGGGGTTTGAACTCACAGACTGCAAGATCATGACCTGAACCGAAGTCAGTCGCCCAACCGACTGAGCCACCCAGGCGCCCCAATATTTGTATTTTAAAGGGAAAATATAGTTGGAGAAAGATCAGGTATAAATAGTTGCCATGTTTTACACACACACACACACACGGAAACTGATACTGGAGAGAATACATTAAATTATTGTAGTAACGTAATAAATGCGTTATGGAGACATTGTCAGTAGTAATGCAAACTGTATAGCTGATTTTGGAGAATACTCTCTAGAGTATTTATCTTTCATAGGTAACGTTTTTAATTTTTAAAGAAATTTACTATAAAATATTTATGTCCAGGAAAACAAAATATTTTTCTCATTTCTTTTAGACTTGGAGTCAAAATATGAAATAATCAGCTGTGAAAAAGTACACGTTTATAAAAAACATTCACCTCTTACTCTACGTCAGAAAATTCATACTAGAGAGAAACCCTATGAATGTGACAAATGTGGGAAGGCCTTTAGTCGACATACAGACCTTATAGTACATCAGAGAATTCATACTGGTGAGAAACCCTATGAATGTGAGCAGTGTGGAAAGTCCTTTAATCGTGCATCCAACCTTCTGCAACATCAGAGAATTCATACTGGTGAAAAACCTTATAAATGTGAGCAATGTGGAATGACGTCTAGTCGTAGGATGGACCTTAGAGTTCATCAGAGAATTCACACTGGTGAGAAACCCTATGAATGTGAACAATGTGGGAAAGCCTTTAGTCGTGCCTCACATCTTACTCAACATGGGAGAGTTCATACTGGTGAGAAAGCCTATGTATGTAATGAATGTGGGAAGGCCTTTAGTCAGGGTGGAAGACTTAAAATACATCAGAGAATTCATACTGGTGAGAAACCCTATGAATGTAAGGAATGTGGGAAGGCTTTTAATCAAGCCTCTCATCTTGTGCAACATGGCAGAATTCATACTGGTGAAAAACCCTATGAGTGTCATGAGTGTGGGATGACCTTTAGTCGTGGTATAGATCTAAGAGTACATCATAGAATTCATACTGGTGAGAAACCATATGAATGTAAGGAATGTGGGAAGGCCTTTAGTCGTGCCTCAAATCTTGTTCAGCATGAGAGAATTCATACTGGGGAGAAGCCCTATGAATGTAAGGAATGTGGGATGACATTTAGTCGTGGTTATCAGCTCATTCCACATCAGAGAGTGCATATTGGTATAAAACCCTATGAATGTAATGAATGTGGGAAGGCCTTTAGTCATGCTTCAGCACTTATTCAACATGAGAGAATTCATACTGGTGAGAAACCCTATAAATGTAAAGAATGTGGGAAAGCCTTTATTCATGGTGGAAGCCTAAGAATGCATCATAGAATTCATACTGGTGAGAAACCCTATGAATGTAAAGAATGTGGGAAGGCTTTTAGTCGCACCTCAAACCTTGTTAGGCATGAGAGAATTCATACAGGTGAGAAACCATATGAATGTAAGGAATGTTGGAAGGCCTTTAGTCATATTGAAAGCCTCAGAGTACATCATAGAATTCATACTGGTGAGAAGCCCCATGAATGTAAAGAGTGTGGGAAGGCTTTTAGTAGTGGCCATCAACTAATTGTACATCAGAGATTTCATACTGGTGAGAAACCCTATGAATGTAAGGAATGTGGGAAGGCTTTTAGTGTGTATGGGCGACTTACTAGACACCAGAGTATTCACAGTGGTGAGAAACCTTTTGAATGTAACACATGTGAGAAGTCCTTTAGGCTTAGGTCAAGTCTTAAAGTACATCAGAGAATTCATACTGGACAGAAGGCTTATGAATATAAGGACTGTGGAAAGCATATATATGCAGTAGAGAATGTATAGTACATAAGTGATTTATAATACTGAGAAACAGTGTGAATGTAAGGAATATGGGAATACTTTTAGGTATGGTTCAGTTTTTATAAGGCATTAAGCAATTTATACTGGCGAGAACTCCTTAAAATGTAAATAATTGGAATTTTTGTTATGACTCAAATGTTCAGATTAATAAATTTATAATGTATTTTTATATAACAGGGAAGACTTTACTAGCATTTCTCTGTTTACAGATTATCAGAATATTCATCTTGGAGGAAAATTCAGAGAATGTGGATATTCCCTTGTTTTTTATGCTTTATCTCCGCCCTCATCAATTATTGTTAAATTTGAGGAAATGCATACCACAGAAAACCCCTGTTGATCTAACAAAAACCATAGTGATTGTCATTTGATGCTTTACAGCCTGTATGACATTGGGCAAGATATTATCCCTGTGGGAGTCATTTATAAGTGGTGATAACAGTACTTGCATTATAGTGCTGTTTTTGAAATGTAGAAAACTTGGAAAGCTATCTTAAACATAGTCTCTATTCACTAAGTATTAGATACTATTTTTAATATTATTTGTATTACTATTAGTGAATTATTAAGAGACCAAGTCAATATGGGTGTAATGAACTTAGAAAATCTTTATTCCTAAGTAATTACTTGTGCCTTTTTGAGTTTTAAGTATTTTTTTCTGCACAAAGTCTAGTAGAATATGAAAATCATGAGGATTTAAAACGTGAGTTTTATTGGAAGACTGACATTGATTTGTTTACATACCACCTATGGATGCTTTCATACTCCTCTGGCACAGCTGAATACCTGCAGCAGAGGCCATATGGCCGACAAAGCCTAAAATATTTACTGTCTGGTTCTTCACAAAAATTTTGCCAGTACCTGTTTTAGAATAACATCCCCACCAATTTTTCATTACTTTGGATTTTCCAAGAGTATGAGAAAGTTGTCTTACTGAATGGTCCCATGTTCTGGGTTTTTAAAATTATTTCTTTGTGGGTCATTTATCCTGTTCTTCTATCTCTAATCGTTCTAGTAAATTAAAAGTTAAATGAAGAGGTTTAATTGAGTCAATGTTGTGAATGTTAAGAAACATGTAATGTTGAGTTTCCCTACTTTTAATGATGTTGGATGTTAATACCTGGTTATAGTAATGACTGCTAGATCTCTCCATTGTAGAAATCCATTTTATAGTTACTCATCTGCATGGTAATATTTTATCACCTCCTTTTGCAAATTGATAATCCTCATGTATAAGTTCTGAATTAAACAGAATTGAAATTAGGGTCTATTCAGAAAGGAATGATAATGAAATGCTTATATGCCAGAACTTGGGGATGTTATCAGTTTTATTGTACTCATTGGAAATTTAATAAATTGCTCACGGCTTTATCCCAGATCATACATACCCATTGTTTGCCACTTAGTAGGTATTGACAAAAATTGATAAAATAATTAGATAACAATTAATTAAAAATTTGTAGAATAAAAATTTTACAAAGCTAGAAATAAAATGACCTAAATCTAAGCCAATATAAGAAAGCAATTAATAAAACTAAAATTATTAGAGCCTATTGATTGTTAATCAGATAGTACTCTAACAGCTTTGGGTTTTTTCTGTGAAAAACAATACATCTAGAAGTAGAGTTTAGTGATTTAGAAATGGAACAGGAATCTTGAAAAAATGTTTTTTAACTTTAAAATTTTTCTGTTAGAAGTATGTTAACATCAGATAGGCTGTGATAAATCTGGTCAAGATAAAAATAAGAATGATTACATTATAGTATCATTAATAAGAAAGGCAATATAATCACAAACAGAATTTTAAATTAAAAGAAAATGCTGGGTGGCTTAGTTGCTTAAGCCTCTGACTCTTGATTTTGGCTCAGATAATTGTCTCATAGTTCGTGAGTTCAAGCCCACATTGAGCTCCATGCTGACAGTGTGGTGCCTGCTTGGGATTCTCTCTCTCTCCCTTCCTGCCTTCGCTGTTCTCTCAGAATCAATGAATGAATAAATAAATTAAAAAAATAAACAGTAACTTTCAGGAGCTGAACTGATACATTATTAGTAACACAAGTCCATACTTCACTCAGATTTCCTTGGTTCTTACCACATGTTCTTTTTAAAAAAAAAATGCTTCAGGGGCGCCTGGGTGGCTCAGTCAGTTGCCATCCGACTCAGTCTACTGCCATGATCTCACACTAGAGTTCAAGCCCCAAGGCCGGGTGTGGTGCTGACAGGTCGAGCCTGGAGCCTAGCCTAGGATTTGTGTCTCCTCTGTCTCCTGCCCTCCCCTGTCTATTCTCTGAAATAATAATAAAACATTAAAAAATTTTTAGCTTGGGTGGGAAGTCGGAATGTAAGCCGTCCGACCTAGTCAGGAACTCAACTCATGATTTGCATAGCCCGCTGGCTGCAGCTCTGGGCCTGAATTAGGTCAAGAGCCTGATTGCCTCAGTCCTCTTTTCGTTGCCTTCCCTGCACTCATGTCTGTCTCTCTGTCTAAAAAATAAAACGCTGGAAAACATTTTTTTATGTCGTTTTTTTCCAGCATATTTAGAAATCTAAGGGAATGTATTGTGTTCCTAGGAAAAATGTAATTTATCAAAATCAAGATGATAGTGGATACTTTTTTTTTTAATTTTTTTTTCAACGTTTATTTATTTTTTGGGGGACAGAGAGAGACAGTAGCACGAACGGGGGGGGGCAGAGAGAGAGGGAGACACAGAACGTGGAAACAGGCCCGAAAGCCATCAGCCCAGAGCCTGACGCGGGGCTCGAACTCACGGACCGCGAGATTGTGACCCCAACATCTTTCTTTTAAAATCACTGTGGGGGTGCCTGGGTGACTCAGTCGGGTTATTGAATATAGAGATATACACATCTAAAAAATTATGCCCCCGGGCACACCATTAGTGCTTTTTAAAAAGCACTATGCAGATGGGGAATTCATAGTGCTTTTTAAAAAGTTTTCGTGCTTAAATAATAAAATACTGAATACTGAATCTCTACCTTTGAACAATGAAAAGCTTATATCAACCAAACATGATTAGAGATCTGTGGTAAAGAACATTTTAAAATATTACCAGGGCGGGGTGCCTGGGTGGCTCAGTCGGTTAAGCATCCGACTTCGACTCAGGTCATAATCTCACAGTCCGTGAGTTTCAGCCCCGCATCAGGCTCTGTACTGACAGCTCGGAGCCTGGAGCCTGTTTCACATTCTCTGTCTCCCTCTCTCTGACCCTCCCCTGTTCATGCTCTCTGTCTCAAAAATAAATAAACCTTAAAAAAAATTACAGTATTACCAGGGAATCCCCATTCCTAATACTTAACATCTCTAGGCAGATCCAAAGAGAGTGACTCTAAGGTTGGAATTATCAGTCATTATTTCATGTTATTAGTGACGACTGGATTGCAGACAGCTCACTTTATGACCCATAGTTATCTTCGTTTTTCTGAATATACAGCTCTAGTTTTCTACAAACTGAAATATATTTTAGCCCAATCTTTATATAAACATACCTCAATAAATTTAAATCTTGTCTTTTGACCATGATTCTGTTGTTGACAATTTTTCATAATTACAAAAACAGAGAATAACTGTGCTCCTATATACTAGCATATGTGAGCAGCTGTCTGTAAATACTCAGGCCTAGGTAGTGTACATTTTCAGCTTTGGTAGGTATTGCTAACTTGTTTATTTTTGATGTCTGCATCTGGCAACTCAGTCAAAGGCGAAATGTGTTGTATGTTTCTCCCTCTAGTATGTGGTTTAGTTTTTAGTTTTCTAATTACTACTGAGTTGAATATTTCCCACATATTTTTATTGGCCAATCATGCTCCTTTTTGTGATTTTTTCCTAGTTCTTTTACCCCTTTATCCTTTTTTTCTAATTTAGAGATGCCTTAAAAAATACTCAGTATCCAAATCCTTTGCTTGTTTTATTTGATGTCTTCATTTTTTTCCAGACTTCTGTTGATTTATGCTGCTTTTTACTAAGTTCAGTACCCCTCATACAAATATTTTAAATTTTGATATTTCAGTCCTACCAAATATTCTTATTTCTATTCACAATTTTATTAGACTATTTAGTTTCCTAAATAATCAGTTATCTGAAAGTCAAAATGAAAATTCCTTTTCTTAATATTTATATGGATTATGTACTTTTATTGAAATAGCTTTGGCCATATTGTATAATGGTAGTGATGTCATCAGACGGGGAATTCAGTAATCTATTCATTCACATCTGATAGTTAATACCATTGTCCTATACAAGTTTGAGAATTAAGTATAACATAAGACAGAATAATTAGTTTTTCAGGCTTCTGGTCTTCTTCTCCAATAGTGCAAATTATATCAATTATTTCATGGTTAATATATTGTTAGTAATTGGTTATGGGTAGTTCCATGTTGTATGTTAAGTAGTTTCCTACATAAGAAATGCCCCATTTTTTCCAAATGCCATTTCATTATTGCTTTAGTTTTGTACTATTCTTTCTTAATTTATTGATATATTAATGAATATTGATAGATTTCTTGTTTTTTAACCACTCCTGGGATAAGCTAATGGTATATTATTCTTTATACTGTTCAATATCATCTGTTAATATTTGATTTCGAATGTTTGCATCTATATATGTGAGCTTGTATTCTAATTTCATTGTGTATTTTTCATGTTTGATATTGCACTTATCAGGTTTGTTTTTTTTTTTAATTTAAGGTTTAAAGTCTAAAAGATACAATAGAACTTCTCTTTGGAAACTTATGGAGCTTTTTATATCTTATTTTCAATGTTACATCTTTCATTACCTTAAGTATCTTTTTTACATGAGACCCTCATGTATAGGTCAACTAGCATGTGTTTTTGGCAATCCTAATTGGGACACCAGAGCTCCTCTGGAAGGACATAAAATGTAGTTTGGCTCTTTTACAAGGTTTGTATACTTTTCAGCAACCACAGTAGAACTGATAGATTATTTCATGTCTGAGATTTTATAAAG